GGGTGGAACCTCTTCGGGGATCAGCACTTCCAACTCTGCGAGTCCAGAGTTTCAGAGGTGGGAAGCACAAAATTCCCCAGTGGGTCATGGGGAATGATTACTGGGAGTGATGGTAAGTGGGGGCCCATGCCAGCTTCCACCCTTAGGTTCCCAGACCCATGTATTCTTCCTTTTGAGGACCATTTAGAGGTCTCTGATTTAATGCATATAATGCATACTGAAGGATGGCGTCAAACCCTTTCCGGGTGTTTTCCACGAGCTGGCATTTCACCTGTACCTTTAGAAAGGCATTCCAGTGCTTCCAGAGGGTGTGTTATGGGATATGACCTTCTGTGCCTCTTTGCTGTGAAGTGGCTTCCCTGGTTGTGATTCCATGCCTGGTGATCAGGCATTTCATAAGCTCCTAGATAGCGGCCCTGGCTGAGACTCTGTGGGCAGGAAAGGACAACCCCTACCCAAAATAGATATTTATTCCGGTGAGGATGAGCCTGTGGCCCTTTCAAGATGGAAGTGGTCCAATGTAGTAAACTTTCCACCAAGTATCTGGCTGGTCTTCTCAAGGAATGGGGCCATACTGGGGACTTAGATGGTCTCTGTTGTTAACAGGTTGGATATTCAGAGGCAGCAGGGGCTGAAAGCAGCAAGTTGGAATCTATGCTCTTTAGCTCATATGTTACCTCCATATCAGCCACCCACTATGCCACTTCCAGGTTGCCTAATGTCAACTGGCTGAGTCATTTGTCTGCTTGGTTGTTCAGAGCCTCTTCCATGGGGATGCTCTCTGGTGGGTATCGGCATGGATACAAAAATCTTCACAGTTTGTGCTCACATCCATGTGTCCTTCCACGTTCCTCTATCCCAGTCCTTCTATCTCCAGTCTTCTAGTCCTTTCCCTTCCAGGCCCCTGATAAGACAGCCAAACCTTTGGTCACTGTCCAGGAATTGTGAGTGACCAAATACACTGCTTAGAGCTTCACCCATTGGGAAGATCTTCCTTCTCTACTGTCTTTCAAGGTCACCCCTGAATGTGGCTATAGTGCAGCCACCCTGCATTTTCAGCTTACACCCACATATTGAGCACACCTATATGTGAACCAAGCTCGGGGCTTCTCTTTTCCTTCAGCTAGTCATGTGGAACCCTCCATGTGGCCATAGGTATGAGCTTGGGATGGGCATGGTATAACTGCTGTGTGACATGGGAGTCTGGACTACCTATTAATGCAGCTTACTCAGGCCTTCTGGCTCTGCTTGATCCCAGATATCCCTTTTTCGTCTTTTGATGGACTGCTGCTAGGCCCGTCTGACTTATACTAGGCCTTACGACTTGGTGGGTCCAACTGAATTTAGCTCCTAACGGGAAGTTTTAGACCCAGGGTCACTAGGTGTTCTATGCTCAAGCATTTGGTAACTACCAGGGCTTGATTAGATGCCAGGGGCCACTCTCAAAGGTATATAATTCTGTTGCAGATGGCATGACTTCTCCAGAATCCCAGGGACCTGCTTTGTGGTTCTCCTGCTGGGGCTTGTCATAAACTCTACACTGCATCTTTTCCCATCAGTATAACCTCTGATGCCATAGGGCGTGCGGGGTTGCATGGCTCAAGTGGCAAGGCTTCCTGCCTTGTAACCTGGACCTGCTGCAAAGCACTTACTTGTTCCAAGACCCACTGAAGGCTGGTAGCTTCCAGTGTCAGTAAATGAGCTAGGACAGTATTCCTAGATGCGGAAACTGCTGCCTCAAAGAGGCCTACCAGGCACTGTGCTTCCTTCTTTGTGGTAGAGGATGCAAATGCAGTAATTTGTCCTCACTTTGGAGGGAATATTCTGGCACTCCCTTGACCACTGGACTCCAAAATTCTTCACTCAAGTGGCAACTTCCTGAATCCTACTCTCTTACCAGGACCTCCAGCATCCAGCCACTTCCTGCTTGTCCTGCCTGATCAGCATGTCCTGGGTCAGTGTGGTGTTCTGTGTGATGTCCAGGCACTCTAAATCTCCTTGGACTATCTTATGACAGAGGGCAGGAGAGTCAACACAGTTCTGGGGCAAAAATGTGAATGAATATTGACCATCTCATATGAATGTGAACTGTTTCTGATCTTCGTTTCTAATCAGAATGGAAAAGAATGCATTTGCCAAATCAATGGCTGCGTAGCATGTACCCAAAGGTGCATTAATCTGCTCTGTAAATGACAGCGTACCTGGCATAGCAGCTGTGATCAGGACCACTAACTGGATGAGCTTGTGTTAGTCTATGGTCATGTTTCAGGATCCATCCAGTTTCCGCAGGGACAGACTAGTGAATTAAACAGAGATGTGGTAGGGACCCCTCCACTTCATACTTTAGGTCTCTGATGGTAACACTAATCTCTGCCATCCTCCCCCACCTGGGATACAAGAGTTTTTGATTTACTATCTTGGCCAGGGGTAGGGTAGTTTCAAGGTTTCCACTCACAGCTCAGTCCTTTGCACTGTGATGGCTCTCATTCCATAGGCCACGGATCGAATGTGGGGTTACTCCAGTCACCAAATATATCGATTCCAATTATACACTTAGGGAGTGGGAGAATGACCAGTGGATGGCTCTGTGGACACATTAGTCCCACACTAAGCATATCTTTGGCAAGGACTCCATTTATAACCCGGCCCCCTTAGGTTCCCACTCTAACAGGAGGCTATGATTTTGCTTTGAATCTCTGGATAGCAGTATCAACTGAGATCTTGTGTCCCATAGTTGTGAAAATATCTGGGGATTTCCCTTCCCGCAGTTGTTCAATTACCCAAGCAAATGGCTGCAGGTCCCTTTGGGGGAAAAACTAAAGAATCGTTCCAGGATATGTGTTGCAGGGTCATTCCCTCTAGGGACTTGGCCACCTCTTCTGTCAACTCAGTCGATCTGAAATTGGCTCAGGCCCAGGAACTAAGAGAGGATTGTGACTTGTTATTGGGATGGCTGTCCTCAACCTCCTGTTCCTCCATTTCTGCCTTTTCTTGGTTGTAGATGTTAAGCAGCAGTCTTATTATTTCCCCATAGTGAGGACATGTTTTGCTGACCTATTTTAACCTCTATTTCCACAACTTCCTCAGGGTTGTAAACCAGTCCAAAATCCTCAACTTACTGTCCATTTTCTCAGAATACTCTTGGTACTCCTTGTATTAGTTCATACCTGCCAAGAGACTGACATGAAAATGGGATTAGACATCCAAGAGATTTCTTTTTTTTTTTTAAATTGTAGACCTTTTTTTTGGAGAGGAAGATTGTCCCTGAGGTAACATCTGTGCCAATCTTCCTCTATTTTGTATGTGGGACACCACCACAGCATGGCTTGATGAACAGTGTGTAGGTCTGTACCCAGGATCTGAACCCACAAACCCCGAACCACAAACCCTAGGTTAAGTTACACAAATTTTATCACTACACCACCGGGCCAGCCCCCTGCCAGGAGATTTCTTAGTGGAGGGAGAAGGAGAAGGCAGGGAGAGGTTCAGGTGGTAGTGAAAGTTTGACAACTGTGGAAGGTGACAGAGAAGGAAGGATTGGCTAGGAAGAGTCTAGGACTGCAGCGTGGTTCCAAGAAAGGTTCAAGCAGGCTAATGGGGAGTCCTTGAGCTAATGTGCCCTGTTGGATGAGTCCCCATCTTGCCAAAATGGGCCTTGCTGGCACCCCTGCTGTGGCCAGTCATTGGCTGGGAGCCTTCTGTGGGAAGCGTGGCCTTGGCACCAACACAGAGGGCAGCAGTGGAGCTACCAGTCAGTCATGCTGCCTGTAGCAGGCAATTTGAACAGTACATTTTCGTGGCTACCATATACATTTGCCTCAGTCCCCTGCATCTGACACTCCCAAAGCTTCTACCTCCCATCCTTGTTTGTTTCCCTCACATCACTCTCCTTGTTTCCATCCCATCATCCTGTTCCCAAATTCTCCGGCTCTTTCTAACCATTTTGATTACAACTCATCTGGACACAGCGCCTGGCTGTGATTTCAGTTCTTACCAAGTGTTGCTCTCACAGTGCTCCTTCCCTTTTCCCTTCTCCCTGCCGTCAGGGACTATACTCTCCAGCTAGTGAAGACGAGACACTGCACGTTAGTTGAGTGCAGGGCTCAGAGCTCAGATTTTTCTTAGAACAAAGATCTCATAGCCCAACTGAACTAAAAAAAGTTAGTAAAATACCCAAAGTTTTTCTTTTCAGAAACATTCAAATTACCATATAGTCCCAGAGATACGACTAGGCCTTCAAGACAGGAGCTACCAAAAATCAGAGCAAATTATTTTGAATAATTTTGCTGCTATTTAAAAAAGAATACCCTGCAAGTTGGGTGATCACGTAGAAGAGGACTCAGCCTAACCATAAAAGGTACTCACTGGATGTTTATCAAATGAATGGCTACCTGGTAATGGAAAAATTAGATCACAGAGAAAACAGTCGAGTTCCTCTCCTGACCAATCTACTTTTTTCTGTCACATGGAAAGTTCAGCCTTTAATGAATCCATTTCTCAGCTGGCGGAAAGATCCTCTCTCTTCTCTCCTGCACTGCTAGAGTCTTATGATATGAGTGTCAGTTGCTGTTTATAGCTGTTTATAGCAAGTATTCTTGCCCCAAGGAAAGAATTTTGGATGGTAGATCTTTTTGGATATAAAATCAGGGAAGAGGGCCTGGCCTCATGGTGTAGCAGTTAAGTTCACTCACTCCACTTTGGGGGCCCAGGGTGCACCACTTTGGATCCTGGGTGCGGATCTACATACTGTTTATAAAGCCATGCTGTGGTGGCATCCCATGTACAAAATAGAGGAATATTGGCACAGATGTTAGCTCAGGGCCAATCTTCCTCACCCCAAACCCAAAAAACCAGGAAAGGATTTAACAAGCCCACCTCTTCTACTAGTGGGCGTCTGGGACCAGGAGGATGCTCCCTTTACTCTGCCTTTCAACATGCTGTCTCTTCTTTATTAAGAACCCTGAAAGACCCCAACAATGAGATATCCCTGACCAACTTCAGGACTTTATTTATTTATTCTTTTACCTCTGTAGACTCTGACCCCAAACTTGACCCCTCCCAGAACTCCCAAAGGCTTCTCCAAATATTACTTAAACTTCACTTAGTCCAGAGGTTGATGTGCCTGACTACTATTCCAGAGGGTGAAGTGGCTGTCACAAGCAATCGCACACATTTTACCTTCTTCCCAGACTCGTTTGATAATACCTGCTTGTTCAGGCTGCCGTTTACCAGTAGCCCCAGCAGAATGTAGTCATCACAGTCATTGATCCTGTTAGTACAATCAAAGCCCAGTTCGACGTGTCCCTCTTTCAGCCAATTTTTGCCTTTTAGGTCAGAGCCAGTCAGCACTTGAACTCGGAACACTTCGGCAGGTATGTCCAAAACCACAGTTAGATGACTGCCAGCCTCAGCCGACTTGGCATAAAAGAAATTCCTATCCAAGCTATAGGCATTTATGAGAACAGAGTCATGAGGAACATTCAGGTTAGTGTAGATGGAGGCAGCAGGGTTGCTGGGAGAGCCAATGTCATTTTCCTTAAACTCTTTATCTTCGAGGCTATTGAATTTACCCTCAAAGGAGGAGTAATTATCTATGTGCTGGAAGAGGGAAGGGAAGAAGTGGATCCGCGGTTCTTGCATGAGAAGGTCGTGAAAATGGGAGAGGAGGCAGTCACCGGGCATTTCTTGGTGGAAGAGGAGAAGGAAATGAACAAAGCGGGGGAGGTCTCTAGCATGGAAGAGTTTTCCAATGAAGCCCAGCTGAGAGAACTCCAGAGTCACCCAGTGTTTGTTTTCCCAGGCGGACACTGTAGTAGCTATCTGGGTGACAAATCCAGGGGCACATTTCACGTCATCTTCGATCATCAGGAAATAGTCAGAGTGGTTGGTAGCAAAGTTCATGAGGAAGGCATAATCCATGTTCTGCTTGGAGGGGAAGGCTACATAGGCGGGGATGTCATTAAAGTTTTTCTTAAGGTCCTTCAAAGAGAGATAGCTTTTAAGAGGAGTATTGATCACTACTAGCTGTCTGGCCTGGATATATGGCTTAAAGAGGGTTGAGATGTTGGAGATCATTTGACTGAGCCACTTGGGGTCCGGATCTGCCAGGTGTACCAGGACGATGAAGTGTTTCCGCTCAGATGAGGAGGAAGCAAAGAAGAGAGACTGCAGGGTGGTCAAGAGGTAGCTCCCTTGGGGATGCTGCACTGAGGCAATCCCTATGGTCAGCAGTTCTAGGATTGGGGAGAAAAGAGGAGCCTTTATCAACTTAGGGAAGTGAGGGAAATAGTTGCCATGGGTGAGGTTATAATACTTTTTTAGGTCTTTCCATATGCTAACTTCATGTGTTCCTATGGTTATTTTACATTTTCTCTCCCACAGGCCTGAGTATGGGCCATTTTAGGGGTTAATATGCGGCCGTAAGTTGTGAGTTTTAAAAAATCATTACCTTTGAAAAACTGTTGTGAGGGAAATAGATAAAGATGATAAACTAAAAACATTTGCATCTATGTCTCCTCCCACCCCAAATTCCACTGAAAAACCACACAGGTTGCCATGACAGAACCATAACATTTGAAGAATTCCTGGAAGTCATAGTCCTAAAGACACACAAAGAAAACAACACACAGATACATCCTTATACCAAAAGCCTGGGAGCAATTCTAAGTTTGAGCCATCAAATACAAAGGAATGGGCCCTGGGATGGTCACCTGGATAATTATTTATAGAACTATTTCAAGAACTACTGGACCAGCGACCACCAAGGGGCTGGTGGTAGCAACATCCATCCCCAAGTTAAAGTCATAGGATTTCCGTCAAAATAAAGTGGAAGGTCTGCAGCGAGGAGCCCATGGTATGAGTCCTTAGTCTGGAGGGAACCTCAGAACTGAAGCCAAGAACTCCAGGCAACAGAGGGAAGAGGAGCTAACACAGCTGACTATGGTATTTGCCCCTAGGATAAAGCTCTGCATATGGTTCCCTGAAGCAGACGTTCAGAAATGCAGAGGCTGCCAGAGTGTGTCTAAGCAGATGAACGGTGACATGCTCCAGATGGCTTAGGGCTTTACTAGAAGAGACGGGGGATACTTCACCCAGAAGTTCAGCTACCCACATTGCTTACTTCCTCCATGTGTCACGGCTCCCCTACAATCTAATGAGGCAGGCTTCCATAAGCGCAGCCCACTTTTACTGAGAGGCAAACAGGGATGGTTGTTGAGGAGAAGTACACTGTTCATTCTAGATCCTTGAAGATAAATCTGAAACAAGCATCACTAAACATTTGAATGTAAATATGAAACAAGAATCACCAACGTAATGGAAGAAAGACAACAACTCAACCAGAAAAAGAACTCCAAATATAGCGGTTAACAGAGGAAACAGTGATTGAAGAATATTTCAAACATATTAAATCAAACCTCAGAGAATTAGAGAGGAAATCATATTCTTTGGCAAAAGAACAGGCTTGTATGAATCAGGAAGAGGTTGTAGAAAATAGGGATACGGGGACTTGATCGAGTTCAGGTTAGACTTTTTGGCAATGATATTTCCTGGGTTGCGATATGTTCTTCCATCTGAAGGCACATGATGCAGGTTGCTTCTGTTTTGAGGATGTCAGCAGCCTTTGATGCCCAGTGCCCAGATCCATCAATACTCTAGGGGTTGCAGTATGGTGATATTCTAAGTCAAACATTCCTTCCTCATTTATTATCTGGAATGCTTCTATAAAGAGAAAATTCCCTCATCTACTTTTTGGTTACCCAGTGGCATAGTTCATACAGGAAAGTATTTCCTATATGAAATATATAGGAAAGATAAATATATCTCACATAGGAAAGATAAACATTTGATTCTTTCCCTTTATTTACCAGCTTTCAAAATAATGGATTGGTTCCCTAGCATTCTCCAATGGTGATAAACTTTATAAGGTTTTTTTTTGGTATCCGTATGAACTCATGGATTTTATGTGTTTCAAACCATTGAAATTTTATGCTTATCGATGCTCAAACTGCCCTATCTTTGGCAAGTAGCCTTTTGAAGTTAGATCCTGAGCCCTTTTGATACAACCTCAGTTCCTTTCAAAAGCTTCCTTGCTATCTGGTATGACACTTCCTGCCTTGCACGTGGAATCAGCCACTTTTTCAAGGCACCCTGGTCCTTTTTAGTGGAAAATGGTGTTTATATAATGGGTGCTCATTGCTAGTGGGTCCTTTCTAGGCCCTAGTGGACAGAGCTAAAACATTTTTTTCCAGCTCTCTTCTTTATGTTTCCACAATACACAGAAATGAAAATACATGGAGATTAAACCCTGGCGGCAGCTTTCATCACCCGTCCTCACATTCGTTGGAGCTTTCTTCACTCAGACCCTCGCTGCTCTCCCCTTCACTCCCACCGCTCCTGTTTTCTTCACTATCTTCATCATCGTCCTCAAGATTCTGAGCTTTCTCCATCAGCAACATTTCTTCAATAAGTGAGAAAAACTCCTTGGCCTCAGGATTTTCTGGTTCATAGATTAGAATCATCTGACATAAATTTTTTTGTCAAATGGTAGTCTTGGCTCAGTTCTGCTCCCAGGAATTTTGCCATTAACTCTAATGGTGCGTGAAGATCCTAATTAGGGTTACTGTCTTTGTCATAATCTTCATCATTGGTATCATCTTCACCATCATCTGTTGATTCAGACAACTTATCATCAATATCTTGAAAGCCATATTCGTTATTTGTCTCCTGCTCTGCATTGACGGCATCTTTGCCAACTCCGTTCTGACAATGTTCCACTTGATTCAGTCGTCACTTTTTCCTTTGGATCAAAGACTAGTAACCTGCCATTCCCTCTATGTTTTGGTGCCTTCATAGCATCTGCCTTATCTAGATAATTCCTACGGATTTCTGGAATACAAAATTCAAGGCCAAAACTTCTCGCATGCCACCTCGGCAGCCATGGGGCCCCAGAGCCAGAACCTGGAGGGGGCAGAGAAGTTTATGGGTTCAGGTGCCAGGCCTAGAGGGGTCCCAGGTGAGGGCTGGGTCAGGCTGCACAGGGATGGGGAGAGGGTGACTTGCGGTCACCACGGCACCTCTTATCTGCTTCTAAAACATTTTGTTTTTTAATAAAACACATCATGAGTTCATACTGATATTTTAAAATGCATTCAATTAAAAATGCATTTAAACTTAAAGAAAAAGTAATTTTTCTTATTGAGAGGTCTTTGTATCATTAAGTCCAACAAACTCAAGCCCTCTCGAACTTAATCTTATTTTATTGACATAATAAATAGCTTAGCCCTGTCCTTTGAATTCTTGAAGTATTTGAGTCAGAAAAAGCTTACTCTGTCTCAAGGTTTATTTTTTCTTATTAAATACCATCACTACTTTTGGGGATCAAACCAGTGTCACAGCCGGACCTCAGGAGTATTCACAGTGCCAAAGTGAAGCTGGTTCAGCAGGAGAATTGCAAAGTGATGATTGAGATGGCAGATAAAAGGCCATGTTCTCTAGCCTTAGACTGCAGTGACAGACGCCAGCACCGTTACCAGTGACAGGGGAAAAGGGATGCCGCTTCTGCAGAGGCCAGTGAGGACTACCGATGGATCTAGGCTGGAGCCGTAATTTTGAGAGCAACTGGCATATATATGGTACTTAAAGCTGTGAGACTGGATGAGCTCACCAAGACAATGAATGGAGACAAAGACTGAGCTCTGGGCTACATCAACATTTAGACCTTGGAGAGAGAAGATAACCCAGCAGAAAGTACTGAGGATGTAGCAGTGAAGCTGGAGGAAAACCAGAAGAGATGGGATCCTGGAAGCAACTGAAGAGAGTGACGAAAGAAGAGAGTGACCTACAGTGTCAAATGGTGTCCTGGGCCCTGTTCCTTTCCACCTGCCTTCTCTCTCTACTCTTGTCTATCCCGCCCCTGCACAGCCTGTACCCCTGGTGCACACTCACTTTTTTCCACAGGAGGGAATCCAATCACGATACGAGAGTTCACCTTTTTGAGTGGTTCTGAGTTTTTCTGCATGAGTTCGAAGGTTTCCAGGTGTTTTGTTCTACCTGGGTTGATCTGCATCCGCGCTCTCTGCCAAGCTACCACCTCTTTTTCCTCCTGAGAAAAGGGTAGGTTTCAGCTCTATGATTCGTGCCCTTTGGCAGTAATGGCTGGGAGGACTCCTCTTTGCATAACATAATGAAACATCTCCAGGATACAGGGCACGTTGCTCAGGGGTCAATTCATTCTCTTCCTTATCTTCTGAAAAAATTCTACACAAGGGGTTCTTGCATAGGTTATGTGTCCAAGGATGAAGGGAGTTAGGATTTCTCTAGCTCTCCTGGGTGATGTGGAGGGAAGGAGACGATGTCAGTCTATGGCATGCTTCACCCACACTCATCCCTGTGACTACAGCCTGATGTAGGTCACTGAATCCCATGAAGGACAAATGTGAGAGATACAGGAGACAAGGTGACACCCCCCACTGATCCAGTCTAGACTCTTTCCCATGGTGGCACTAGAGTCTTCCTCATCCATTCAGCACTCTCCCTTTCCTTATTTGCCTTTTCTCATTCTGGTGGAATTTTCTCAACTCTTTAGAATTTTTCTTGGCTTAGAGAAATGACGTAACTTCTCTGAGCTTCAGGATCCTATTGTATAAAATGGGGGAAAAATGTGTAACCTTGAAACCAAGGGAAATTTTCTAAAATGGGAAACTTACAGGGCCAGCCCCGTGGCCAAGTGGTTAAGTTCGCACGCTCCGCTTCGGCGGCCCAGGGTTTCGCCAGTTTGAATCCTCAGCCATGCTGAGGTGGCAGCACACATGCCACAACTAGAGGGACCCACAACTAAAAATACACAACTATGTACTGGGGGGCTTTGGGGAGAAAAAGGAAAAATAAAATCTTTAAAAATAAATAAATAAAATGGGAAACTTACTAAATAAGGAGAATATTTTCTACCTCATCAATTGCTGTTAAAAAAAGGGCCAACTCTGCTGAAGCATTAAATAAGTGTCTTTCTTGCCAGCTCTGAAATCTCTCTTCCAGCATGCTCCATCCCTTATTGTCTCCACCAAAACAAAAAAATGCTATGCTGAGTCCTCAAGCTTTATTATCCTTTTTCTGTTTTGAATGTCTACAACGTTACTGACAATTTCACACAAATAGACACTTAGATAATGTCTCCTTTTTTCACTCCAGGGATTTCATTTTTGCTCATGGTTTCTGGTACTCACCAAAGACAGGAAGCTTGCAGTATCAAAGGGGTTTTCTTTAATGAAAAAGAAGATGGGGAACACTCCTGCTGTTGCAATAAGGATGAGTCTCCATAGGAGATTGCTCATGTTGCCGGGGTTGGGGGCTTGTAGAGCTGTTTCTCAATCTGTGATCCTTGGATGTGTATTCAGATGTCTGCAGTTTATACACTGTTGAAAAAAGTTTTCATTTGACAGTAACTTTTTTTCATGAATCAAGAAAGTGCAGTTTACTTGTAAAAATAGCATTCTTTTTTTAGACTATTTTTTAGAGCAGTTTTAGGTTCACAGCAAAACTGAGAGGAAGGTACAGAGGTTTTCCATTTACCCCCTGCCTCCACACATGCATAGCCTCTCCTGTTATCGACATCACTCACCAGAGTGGTACATTTGTTGCAAGTGACGAACCTACATAGACACATCATCATCACCCAGAGTCCATAGTTTACATTAGGGTTCACTCTTGGTGGTGTGCATTCTAGGGGTCTGGACATATGTATAAACGGTACGTATCCATCATTATAATATCATACAGAGTATTTTCACTGCCCTAAAAATCCCCTGTGCTCTGCTTACTCATGCCTCCTCCTACTGCCCAATCCCTGGCCACCACTCATCTTTTTACTGTCTCTGTGGTTTTGCCTTTTACAGAATGTCATATAGTTGGAGTCATACGGTATGTAGCCTTTTCAGATTGGATTCTTTCACTTAGTAATATGTGTTTAAGGTTCCTCTCTGTCTTTTCATGGCTTGATAGCTTATTTCTCTTTAGTGCTGAATAATATTGCATTATCCGGATGTACCACAGTTCATTTATCCATTTGCCTACTGAAGGACATCTTGGTTGCTTCCAAGTTTGGGCAATTATGAATAAAGCTGCCATAAGTATCTGTGTGCAGGTTTTGTGTGAAGCTAAGTTTTCAACTCCTTTGGATAAATACCAAAGAGTGCAATTGCTGGATGATATGGTAAGAACATGATTAGTTTTGTAAGAAACTGCCAAACTGTCTTCCAAAGTGGCTGTACCCTTTTGCATTCCCACCAGCAATGAGAGTTCCTGTTGCTCCACATCCTTGTCAGCATTTGGTTTTGTTAGTGTTCTGGGTTTTGACTATTCTAATAGGTGTGTAGTGGGATCTTTCAATGCTGTTTTAATTTGCATTTCCTTGATGACATATTATGTGGAGCATCTTTTCATGTGCTTATTTTTCATATGTGTATCTTCTTTGGTTAGGTGTCTATTAAGGTCTTTGGCTCAATTTTTAATTGGGCTGTTTGGTTTCTTACTGAGTTTTCAGAGTTCTTTGTGTATTTTGGATAATAGTCCTTTATCAGATGTGTCTTTTGCAATATTTTCTCCCAATCGGTGGCTTGTCTTCCAAGTCTCTTGATGTTGTCTTTTGTAGAGCAGAAGTTTTTAATTTTAATGAAGTCTAGCTTATCAATTATTTCTTTCATAGACCATGCCTTTAGTGCTGTAGCTAAAAAGTGATCACCATACCCAAGCTCATCTAGGTATTCTTTTATATTATCTTCTAGGAGTTTTATAGCTTTCCATTTTACGTTTAGGTCTATGATCCATCTTGAATTAATTTTTGTGAAGGGTGTTAAGACTGTGTCTAGACTCTTATTTTTTTTGAGGTGGATGTCCAGTTGTTCCAGCGTCATTTGTTGAGGAAGTACTTTTGCTTCATTGAATTGCCTTTGCTCCTTTGTCAAAGAACACACTGTATTTATAGGGGCCTACTTCTGGGTTCTCTATTCTGTTCCATTGATCTATTTGTCTGTTCTTTCACCAATACCACAGTCTTGATTACTGCATGTTTCTAGTAAGTTTTGAATTATCACTTATTTCTTTCATAGATCATGCCTTTGGTGTTGTATCTAAAAAATCATCACCATAGCCAAGATCAGCTAGGTATTCTCCTACATTGTCTTCAGTCCTCGAACTTCGTTCTTCTCATTTAAAATTGTATTGGATATTCTGAGTCTTTTGCCTCTCCATATTTAGAATAGATTTAGAATCACTTTGTCAACATCTGTAAAATAACTTGCTGAGATTTTGACTGGGATTGTGTTAAATCTATAGATCCAGTTGATCTTCTGGAAGAACCAACATCTTGACAACATTGAGCCTTCCTATCCATGCACATGAAATCTCTCTCCACTTATTTGGTTCTTCTTTGATTTTGTTCATCAGAGTTTGTAGTTTTCCTCATCTAGATCTGATACATATTTTGTTAGATTTATATCTCAGCATTTCATTTTGGGGGGTGCAAATGTAAATGGTATTGTGTTTTTAATTTAAAATTCCACTTGTTTATTGATGGTATGTAGGAAAGCAATAGACTTTTGTATATTAACCTTGTATCCTACAACCTTGCTATAATCACTTACTAGTTACAGGAGTTTTTTTCTTCATTCTTTTAGATTTTCTACAGAAATGATCATGTCATTTGCAAACAAAGACAGTTTTATTTTTTCCTCCTCAATCTGTATACCTTTATTTTCCTTTTCCTGCCTTATTCCATTAGCAAGGACTTCCAGTACAATGTTGAAAAGGAGTAGTAAAAGGGACATCCTTGCCTTGTACCTGATCTTAGTGGGAAAACTTTGAGTTTCTCACCATTATCTGTGATGTTAACTGTAGATTTTTTGTAGATAGTCTTTATTAAGTTGAGAAAGTTCCCCTCTATTCTTAGTTTATTGAGAGATTTTATCATAAACGGGTGTTGGATTTTGTCAAGCACTTTTTCTGCATTGATTGATATAATCGTGTGATGGATTACATTAATTGCTTTTACAATGTTAAATCAGCTTTGCATGCCTGGGACAAATCCTACTTGGTCATGGTGTATAATTCTTTTTTACATTTTTGGATTCAATTTGCTAATATTTTGTTGAGGATTTTTGTATCTAAGTTCATGAGAGATATTGGAATGTTGTTTTCTTTTTCTGTATTGTCTTCATCTGATTTTGGTGTCAGGGTAGTACCAGCTTTATAAAATGAGTTGGGAGATGTTCCCTCCTCTTCCATTTTCTAGAACAGACTTTGTGAAATTGGTGTTAATTACTTAAATGTTAGGTAGAATTATCCGGTAAATCTACCGGGGCCTGGTGCTTTTTGTTTTGGAAGTTTATTAATTATTAATTCATTTCTTTAATATAATTAGGCCTATTCAGATCATCTATTTCTTCTTGTGTGAGTTTTGGCAGATTGTGTCTTTCAAGGAATTGGTCTATTTCATCTAGGTTATCAAATTTGTTGGCATAGAGATGTTCATAGTATTCTTTTATTATCCTTTTAATTTCCAAGGGATCTGTAGTGATGACCCCACTCACATTTATATTACTAATGTGTGTCTTTTCTCTTTTTTTCTTAGTTAGCCTGGTTAGAGGCTTACTGATTTTATTGATCTTTCCAAGGAGCCAGTTTTTGGTTTCATTGATTTTCTTTATTGATTTCCTGTTTTCAGTCTCGTTGATTTCTCCTCTAATTCTTATTTCTTTTCTTCTGCTTAGTTTGGATTTAATTTGACCTTCTTTTTCTAGTTTCCTAAGGTGGAAACTTGGATTATTGATTTCGGATCTTTCTCCTTTTCTAATATATGCATTCAATGCTATAAATTTTTCTCTAAGCATTGCTTTCACTGCATCCCACAAATTTTGATAAGTTGTGTTTTCATTTTCATTTAGTTAAAAACATTTAAAAATTTCTCTTGTTATTTTTTTCTTTGACTCATGTTATTCAGAAGGTTTTTTGTTGTTGTTGTTTAATCTCCACATATTTGGGGATTTTCCAGTTATCTTTCTGTTATTGATTTTTAGTTTAATTCCACTGTGGTTGTAAGAGCAGACATTGTGTGATTTCTATTCTTTTAAATTTTTGAAGATGTGTCTTATGGCCCAGAATGTGGTCAATCATGGTGAATGTTCCATGTGAACTTGAGAAGACTATGTATTCTGCTGTTGTTAGATGAAGTAGTCTATAGATGTCAATTATATCCAGTCGATTGATAGTGTTGTTGAGTTCAACTATATCTTTACTGATTTTCTGCCTACTGGATCTGTCCATTTCTGATAGAGGGGTGTTGAGGTCTCCAACTATGATAGTGGATTCATCTATTTCTCCTTGCAGTTCTACCAGTTTTGCCTCATTTAGTTTGATGCTGTTTTTAGGTGCATACACATAAAGGATTGTTCTGTCTTTCTGGAAAATTGGCCCCTTTATCATTATGTAATGCCCTTTTTTATCCCTGATAACTCCCCTTGCTTTGAAGTCTGCTCTGCCTGAAATTAATATAGCTACACCTGCTTTCTTTCTCTTTTTAACCATCTTAACCATTTTTAAGTGTACAGTTCAGTGGTATTAGATATTCACATTGTTGTGCAACCATCCATTCCCATAACTCTTTTCATCTTATAAAATTGAAACTCTATACCCATTAAACAATAACTCCCCATTCTCCCCTCCCCAGAGCCCTTGGCAACCACCATTATACTTTCTATCTTTATGATTTTGACTACTCTAAGTACATTGTATAAGTGGAATCTTAAGTATTTGTCTTTTTGTGACTGGCTTATTTCACTTAGTATACTGTCCTCAAGGTTCATCCATGTTGTAGCATGTTGCAGAATTTCCTTCCTTTTTAAGGGCAAATAATCCATCATATGTATATACCACATTTTGCTTACCCATTCATCTCTCAATGGACAGTTGGGTTGCTTCCATGTTTTTTATTTATTTATTTATTTTTGTGAGGAAGATTAGTCCTGAGCTAACATCTGTGCCAATCTCCCTCTACTTTGTATGTGGGATGCCTCCTGAGTGGATTAGGTCCACACCTGGGATCCAAACACATGACCCTTCAGCTGCCAAAGTGGAGTGCGTGGAACTTTAACCACTGAGGCACAGGGCCGGCCCCCGCTTCCATGTTTTAACTACCGTGAATAATGCTGCTATAGGGGCCAACCCTGTGGCTGAGTGGTTAAGTTCATGCACTCTGCTTTGGCAGCCCAGGGTTTCACTGGTTTGGACCCTGGGTGCGGACCTAGCACCACTCATAAAGCCATGCTGAGGTGGTGTCCCACATGCCACAACTGGAATGACCCACAACTAAAAAAATATACAACTATGTACTGGGGGGCTTTGGGGAGAAGGAAAAATAAAA